TTACTGGAATGGTTAGGCTTGATGTGGCTGCGGGCACCGGGGCGGGCTCCTGCCGGGACGGCCGTTGCATGCCGGTTTTACCTGCAAATAGAAACAATACAAGCGTATGTTGTGCATAAAATTAGATATGATGCAAGTTCCCATCGGACCATGAATGCTGCATTCAAACGGTTAAAGTTCAAAATTCAAAATTAAAGTTTGCATTTAAAAAGTAAATTAACAAAAAAAATAGTAAAACTAAATTTTCATGCATAATAAATTAATAATACTTCAAATTAATCTAACAAACTAAAACATTAAGCATAAATACGTCTAATAATTTTAAAATAACACAAATTGTCGAAAAATCTTAAATACGAATTTCCGGAGGACGCTCAAGAAAATACTTAATATGCCTCCTTAAACTGCCTGTGCCACACTCTGAACGAAATTTTAAGACCTGACCACAGTTCTTGCACTTTAATTTCTGACCTTCTTCATTTTCTTCTACCACCTCAAAGTGTTGCCAAACATATGAGCGCACTCTAGAAGTACGAGACATGATTTAACTTGAGATTTGAGAATTGAGAATTTGAGATTGAGACTTGAAGTCTTGCAAATTGGAGAATGAGAGAATGAGAGAAATTGAGATTGAGAAATGAGTATTGAGTGAAGAAACGAAGAAGGGGGGGGGGGGTTATTTATAGTTTTAGAGAAGGTTAGTTTTGTAAATTAAAAAAGGGTTAAAAATTATAAAAAAAAAGGCTATTTATGCAATATTTCCGTTGGCCAACGGACCAATTCAAGGTCTGACCGTTGCCAACGGTCAGTGGGGCCCACATATTTTGAAAATTAAAAAAAAAAATTTGGCCGTTGAACCGGGCCGATTAACCCAGTAAGGGTTACTGTTCACTGGACCGGGTTCAACCGGGCCGGTTACCCGTTTTCACTAACCTAAACGGACCAACCCCCTCTACCCAGCCCAGCCCATCCCCCTCTAAGTCCGGGCCGGTTACGGGTTTAACCGGTCTGGGCCGGTCCGGAACCGGGCTGACCCGGCCCATTTAACACCCTTAATCTAGACACACTTCAAAGTTCAAGAGTATTTTGTGAGCATCTTATATCAAGGATAATGTAAGAATGTACTGAAACATCTAAGAAAGAAATATAACCTTAAAGCCTATTTGCTGCAATTTAAGTCTCTCTTTTTCCTAGCCTTGACTGTGACTCTTAATTCTACTAAGCTCAATGTGAAGATCTAGCAACTAAAATTTCAAATAATGAGCGACAGTGGTAGCTTGGAAAAAGATTGATACTGATTGTACCCATGAAGACATAAAAGTATAGTTAATCTAATGCCAAACATAAAGCAAATACCACTTAAGTACTACTAACATAATTAAAATGAAAAAGCTAGCAAGAGAAATGATTTTAATATAAACACTACAAATGACTTTTCTATATAATCCATTAGATTTTATTTCAATAAACTTGTTGAAGGAAATAGTATCTTCTTATCATCTGATCATTAGAACTTAGGCCTATAAAATATGTTTTACAGATAAACATTACTCTTATTTCGTAACCTTTCGAGTCTTTTTTGGTCCAGGCACTTCCATTGTACCTATAGAGCATCCACATCTCCCTCGAAATATAAGAACAGCTCTTCCATTTGGAGGTGTCATCCTTTTAAGCTCAGCTTCCAATTCTCTATGATGATCGCGAGGTAACTCGAACAGTCCCTTCATATTGACTCCATCTTTTGCTGAGTTCTTAACACAATCTTCTGTCTCTAACTGTATGTCAAATTCAGCAGCTTTCTTAAGCCCGCGACAACCTGGTTTGTCACATCTCCTGCCTATACATACTGTAACTGCCAAAAGAGCTATCCAGCAAATAAAATACTAACTCATAAACATATGTATACTACTGGAGCTTCATAAATTTCCTCTTTCACCTCAGAATTGATTGTTCGGAGAATTTCAGGTATTTTATTCACCAAAAGATTAACACAAAACCCGACAAGCACCAATCACAACAATCAAAATCATTACATCAATCAAAGCAGAACGAGATTTTTCACAAGCAGGAATGCTTAATTGATTCTTGGAATTGGAAATGTTCTTTTTCTTTTGCATTTGATTGATTTTCCCCCATTTCAGACAAGGGTTAGTTGAATTTTGTGATTTAGCCATGGTTTTTTATTGGTCAAGTGGCACTAAACAGACCATTTGAATTGATCCGAGAAATTGATAAAAATATACATAAACGGCCCCTTCAAGTTGTCCTCAACGACCAGTTTAATACCCCAACTGATCCATTTACCATTTAGATACTTCAAATGACGATTAAGTGTATCAAGTAAACCCGAGTGAAGACTCTATGCTTGAGCTACATTTGCCAATGACGTGTCAAATGAGCCAATTAAAAAATGATACGTGTAAATTGGAATAAAAAATTGCCACATAATTAAAAAAAATACATTAAAGATTAAATAAAAACCCTCACTAGCACTACCCCTCCCCCTTCCGCCCTCCCCATTCCCCCCTCCCTTTCATCTTCTTCTTTGCATCAGTCATGTCCTCCATCTCCTTTTCTTAAATCCCTTCCCCCCAACAAATTAATATTCAAACCAATATGAAATAACAGAGAATAGCCAAAAAGAGAACCCACGAAGGGATCATTAATTGACCTCGCCGGATTATGCGACCTCCATTATCGAAAAATTGTTCTCCAAGCAAAAGGGATTGTTTGAATCTTTTTCTGCCTCAAAAAGAAAAAGTCTGGACCAGTGAAGGCTCTAGTTGGATGCCTGAAGTTGAACACCTCTTCAAAATTTGTTTCAACACTGCTTGTGATAACTTCTTCAGCCATGGATAACCTTGAAGACCACTAGATTTGGCGTCACTTTTTAGTCTTTGGATTTTCGAGTTCTTGATTTTTCCTATAATTAATAGAGGAGAAAAATAGAAGAAATAGAGGGAGAAAAAAATGGAGTAGTGGAGTCTTCATCGGAACAGTGGTCGGAATTTTGGTCGGAATTTTGTTTCGACACTGATTATGAGGAAGAAGAAGCCTGAACTAGTTGGGTGGAAAAAGTTAGAGGAAAATATAATGATATAGTGTGGGACCCACATACAAAATTTAATTTAATTTTGAAAGCAAGAGAGAAAAATTTTGATAAAAGTCTAACGCGCCCAAATGAAACTAAAATACACGTAACTTGCCATGTCAGCGTGAGTGTTTACTTGATACACTTAATAGTCACTTGAAGTGTCTAAATGGTAAATGGATCAGTTGGGGTGTTCAGCTGGTCGTTGAGGACAACATGAAGGGGCCGTTTATGTATTTCGCCAATCTTTAACTTAAACCAACACCAAATTTCTTAATCTAAATCAACGCATCTTGTATAAATCAACACCAAATTGTTATCCACTATTCCTCTTTCCCTGCTAGTTGATTGTAGGGTAGGTGGTTCTGAGTAGTAGGTTTTTTTTTGGATAAGATGGAAGAAGCTGATTGTTAGTATTTTCGAACAAGGGATCGAATGCGCCATCTGTTTGTTAGAATTTGAAGTCGGTGAAGAAGCTAAGGAGATTCCATGTATACATAAGTTTTATTCAAATTGTGTTGTGAAGTGGTTGGGAATTAACGGATTGTGTCCGATTTGTAGGTATAAGATGCCAGTTGAAAGTACAGAGGATGAAGTTATGTTTCCGTTTGATGTTATTATTAATCATGATGTTGGTAATTGGGATTCTTAGTTGTTGTATATAACACAAATTGTTTTCATTTTAAAATTATGTATTGTCTGATTTAAAATTTGTTTATTATGTGACGTTATGGGTTATTATCAAAAATCATTTTTTGCCATAAAAACTTGCTCAACTAAATTTTAAGATTTTTCAAGGATAAAAAGATCATTTAACACGTTATTCTTTCATTGAATTTCTTTAAGGAGATGAAATCATCATAATTACAAAACTGAGTCCTTCGAACTTGCTAACATGTCTGAAGTTTTTATCAAGCCAATATAAGACTTGTATATTTAAAGTTCTTTTTTGAATCTCCAGACTCGCCAGTCTCAAATTAGTTTTAAAACATCAAAACAAACATATATTCATGAACTCCAATTGTTACACCTGCGTATGTCACACTTAGAACGCGTGAAAAACTTATATTTTAAGTAATTAGTATTTGATCGATATTCACTGCTAGTTGACGAAGCAAAAAAAAAAGTTGATTTCTAAGGTGGGAGTGTGGTTGGTGGTGTGAAAATGTAATGATAGGTGCGTCTGAATAGTAGAGGGTGTTGGGTAAGGTGGCAGATGCCGATTGCTTAATTTTGGGTACAAAGCGACTCAATAAAATTGATGGACTAAAACAATAGTTTAATTAAAGCCTTAAATATTTTAATAAAATGTATATCCGCACAATTACAAAAATAGTTTTTTTCTCAAATATTTTTTATACGTTTTGTTAAATTCAAATTAGTAAGATGTTAATTAGCCATATGTTTGTAATAAGTTACCTTGGATCTTGTTGTAAAAATATTTTATTTACTAATATGAAGATTTGAGTATTTTAATTCAATGTTTTAAAAATTCTACTATTAAAAAGTAGGCATCTTTTTCTTTTGTAAAAAAAATAAAACTATGTACTTTTTTTCTTCCTAAAAACTTCAATATCTAAGGAAAAATAAAAACATAAAATTCACTATTAATAATTTTTGGGGCCTAAAGTAAAGGCTTTACTAGCCTTCTCCTTGAGCCACCCATGTTCGGCTAAAAACCTCATGCGTTAAGAAGGAATACATTTGCACTACTGACAATATTGGAGAGGCCATCAACTGAGGGACAGCAGGAGCAATCTTCTATTACTATAGCAGGCCAAACGGCTAATGAGAGTAATCCCAGCTATCATAAGCCCCCATGATCATTGTGTCCTAGAATATTAGACGACTGAATAAGTGCTATAAACAGCGAGAACTAAAGAAGTTCTTGCTGACAAATAAAGTAGATATGATAGCTTGTTTGGAGACTAGAGTTAAAAAACACAGGTCACAGAACATCCAGAGGAAGATAGGTGTAGACTGGCAATTCAAAGACAACTATGATTATGCACCTAATGGTAGAATATGGTTACTGTGGAAAGAAGATAATGTCCATGTAACAGTTCTGGAAAGCACTGACCAACCGGTTCACTGTCTAGTGAAGGACAAAAATTCATCATTCACCAGTTACATAACATTTATATATAGCCTACACACTGTTCAACACAGAATTCCACTATGGAGAAGCTTGAGGAACATGCAAACTAATGGACCTTGGCTCATAATAGGAGACTTCAACAGTGTGCTAAATATGGATGATAGGGTGAATGGAATTCCAGTTCATCAAGCAGAAATGATTGATTTTCAAAACTGTCTTGATGATATTGGAGTGGGGCAAATCAGAAAAAGAGGTAGCAGATTTTCATGGAGCAATAAAAGGGATGCTGAAGTCAGAATATATAGCCACATAGATTGGGCTTTTGGGAATGCTGATTGGTTCAATGCTTATAATGGGGTAGAGGCAATACACATGCTCCCAGGATGCTCAGATCATACCCCTATCATGATAAATACTGAGGTGATCAAGATTAAAGTGAAAAGGCCTTATAGGTTGCTAACATCAGTGATGCGACAAAGAGAGTACAAGGAAGCTGTCCAGAACATTTGGAGTCAAAAGATTCAAGGTTATGCAATGTATTCTATATGGAGAAAGCTAAAGCTTATTGAGCAACAAACAAGGGATATTCAACAGGAACATTCCTCAGTTGATCATAAGCTGATACAATTTAGAAAAACATTGAAGGAGATACAAGAGAAAAACAATGATGACTACTTCAATAAGCAGCTGATAGAAGAAGAAAGAATGACCGTAGAAAGCATAGAGAAATGGGAAGCAATTCAGGAGCAAATTATGAGGCAGAAGTCAAGAGCGACATGGATCCAGCTAGGAGATTGCAACACCAAATATTTCCATGCTTATATGAGGGCCAGACAAGCAAGAAATAAGGTGAGTTGCATCTATAATGAACATCAGATGAAGATAACTGAGCCAAAACACATTTAAATAGAATTCATCCAGTTCTTTCAGCAACTATTGGGGACAGCAACAGATGAACTACCAGGGATTGATGTCAACATAGCAAGAAATGGTCCTTGTCTAACACTGCATCAGCAACAACAATTGTTACAAGTAGTAACAACAGAGGAGATCTGTCAGATTGTGAAGAATCTGCCTAATGACAAGGCACCAGGTATGTTCTTTAAGGAATATTGGTCGATTATTAGAAAGGAAGTCATAGAAGCAGTACAACAATTCTTTCAAACTGGCAGACTATTAAAAAAATTTAACTGCACAACTGTTACATTGATTCCAAAGGTGAAAAATCCTAGCTATGTGAAGGAGTTTAGGCCTATTTCCTGTTGCTAAACAATGTACAAGATTATTGCTAAGATACTGACAAATAGGCTTAAACTAGCTGTGGATTTACTGGTTGGACCTTCTCAGTCTGCCTTCATAGAAGGGAGGAATATTCTTGACAATGTCATAATAGCTCATGAATTGATTAAATGATACTCTCAAAAAGCAGTCTCTCCTAGATGTATGATCAAAGTAGACATCAGAAAAGCATATGATTCGGTTGAATGGAGTTTTTTTAAAGCAGTATTGCTTGAGTTTGGGATACCATACAAGATGGTAGCACTAATCATGGAATGTGTATCTACAGTCAACTATACTCTACTACTAAATGGTGGACTAACAGATAAATTTGCAGCAAGAAAAGGGCTAAGGAAGGGGGGCCCTATGTCCCCATACTTGTTTGTACTAGCAATGGAGTACCTAAACAGATCTCTGAAGACACTGACTCAGAACCCATACTTTAACTAGGGGTGTGCATTCGAATCGGTTTATCGATAAATCGAATCGATTATTTGTTATCGAAATCGAAATTGAAAAAATCGAAACCTTATTGAAACGATAACGATAAGCATATGTACAAATCGATAATCGATAAGTAATTATCGATAAAGGTCAAAATCGAATTGATAAATCGAATTCACACCCCTAGACTGTAGACACCTGTTAAATGAGTAATTACCTATTTGTGTAGATTAATATAACATACAGAATGTATATATATTCCGCTACTATTTTGAAAGCGGCTACACAATAATATTTTCCCTAATCTATACCCTTTCCTTTACCCTAAGTCCCGTTACCCTATTATTTCCTCTACCACATTTAAGGAATGATCTTATTTAAAGATCAAGGGAATGAAGTTCAAATTATTGGAAAACAGAATTAGCCGTGATGATGTATTTTATTTTGTTTTATTTTTTTATACCGTTGGAGTGTTGGTGGCATACATTTGATCCCTTACTTTAGTTTTGTTGCATGTGCTTGTTGACACAATTTTTATATTATAAATGGTGTTCGTCTTATATTAGCTTCTTTTTGTCCATAGTAGTTAGGCGCGTTTATAGCGATATACTTTCCGTGGAATCCCGCAAATTTTCTTATTGGTGTATTCGATAACCGAATCGATAAGCCCCCAAAATCGATAAATCGAAATCGAAAAAATCGAAACCTTATTGAAACGATAACGATAAGCATATGTACAAATCGATAATCGATAAGTAATTATCGATAAGGGTCAAAATCGAATCGATAAATCGAATGCACACCCCTAACTTTAACTTTCATCCTAAATGTGCTAGACTGCAAGTCATACACATCTGCTTTGCAGATGACTTACTGATGGTTGTAGAGCAGATGAGGTATCAGTGAAGTTAATGATGGGAGTTTTTGATCACTTCTCCAAGGTCTCAGGTCTACAAGCAAACTTGGAAAAAAGATCATTATATATAGCAGGTGTGCCTATGGAATTCAAAGACAAAATGTTAGCAGAACTCCAGCTATCAGCAGGCAGCATCCCATTCAAATATTTGGGAGTCCCTTTGTCCTCAAGGAAAATTACTATTCACCAGTGCATGCCATTAGTTGAGAAGATTGTGGAGAGGATAACAAGCTGGACATCAAAGTTCTTGTCCTATGCTGGAAGACTACAACTCATTAAGAGTGTCCTGTTTGAAATGCAGACATACTGGGCTCAAGTATTCCTTATTCCAAAGAAAGTTATTAAGCTTGTTAATGGCATATGCAGGAACTATTTGTGGACTGGTAGTCATGAGAATACTCACAGAGCTCCTATAGCATGGGAAATATTGGGTAAACCTAAAGCTGCTGGGGGGTCTAAATATTATCAACTATGAGAGATGGAACAAAGCTGCTTTGACTAAACTCCTCTGGGCAATAATGGCTAAGAAAAACAAGCTGTGGATTAGATGGATACATTGCCACTACATAAAGCGGAATGATATTAATACAATGGAGGTCCCAAAGCAGGCTAGTTGGCTAGTAAGGAAACTGTTTACAGCAAGAGAATGGTGGGCTAATGACATACCAACAATTGAATCTTTTGTTCAGAATGGGAGATTCAGCATTCAGAAGGCTTATATTCATGCTACTCTAAGGTACCCCAAAGTCCACTGGAAAGCATTAGTCATGTTAACTGGAATACTACCAAAGCAGCAATTCATCTTATGGATGGCAATACAAAGAAGGCTGGCCACAGTTGACAGACTAGCAAAATGGGGAATTCAGGTGACCCATGTTTGTGTACTGTGTGGAGGTGACATAGAAGAGACACATGATCACTTGTATTTCGAGTGTCCATATTCACAGAGCTTATGGACAGGAATGCTAGAATGGTTAAGATACCAGAGAAAGGTTGAAGCTGGGAAACTAAGGTGCAGTGGTTAACTACCAATGTAAACAACAGGAATCCAAGGAAAACTTTGCTAGGAGTGGTGTTTGCAGCAGTAGTATATCACATCTGGATGGAGCGAAAGAAGATTTCAAAACCAGAGCAGAGAGGTCAAAGATATAGCAAAAGACATTGTCATGCAGGTGCACATAACAGGACAGAAGAAATGCAAATGGACACCTATATTGAATACACTAAATAGCTATCCTAATTGTAATTCATAGTAAGTAGGATAGGAAAAGACCCATGAGTGTTATGAGATCTTATTAAGCAGCCTTGGTTGTATAGGTTTTTTTGTTTATTTGTTTCTGTCATGAGACCTGATACTAGAGTCCAAAGTACAGGTGATATAAATTGAAAAACTGGTTGAAATAAAATTTTATTTCGACCAAAAAAAAAAAAACTCATGCGTTTTAACGTTGTGATTGATTCTCAAAACATGTTAAATATGCACATTGTCCACATAGGTTTGGTGTTCAATAGAACACTCTTTTAGATATGATATTTGACGGAAAATTCTAGCAAACTTGAAGGGTTATGATGTATTTTGTCTTAATTTATTAGATTATTATTTTTATCAAGTTATCACTATTCACTTGTAGAAATTATGTTTCGCATTAGAGATCTTTTGTCAAATTCGTTTTTAGACCAAATCGACGAATGCAAGTATATATTTTTTTTAACTGCAAAAGTTAAATTGCTTCATTTTAGTGTAAACATCAAATGATGGTAAATTTTACCGTGATTTGAATGTGCAGATATTCTTGACTAATATACCATGTTGGCTAATTTGCATCATGAAATTTAGTAGACCTTCTAAATGTCTTAATTATATAATCCTTTTTCAAAAAAAAATTCTATGAACTCCTTTATAGGATTAATTTTAGTCCACGAGTTCTACTACTTGCAATATAAATGGCCTCAAAGTCCACAGTTTGCCTCTATTTATTCTGGGATATATGAACAAATAGGATGATTTGAGACCATGTTTATATTTTGTCTCCGTTTAAAAAAGTTTTGCAAATATAGGTTTGGCGCTGCATAACCGGAAGAATGAAAAATTACGCTTGTTCAATTATTCATAAATTTTGTAGGATGGACAAATCTTGCATGTATTGTCCAATTGTTCACAAGTTTTGACGGACAATCATAACTTAGTATTATCTTCATTGCACCATTCTTTTTAAATTGTTCACAAGTTCTGCTGAATGATCAAATTTGTGTGATTGTTCAAAGTTAAGACAAAAGGTCGCAACTACTATCCAGGAATATTAAAACAATGAACATGTCGAACGGGGATTATAGATGCAACCACTGTCCAAATAAGAAGATTCACTCTTGCACCCAAAACAAAGTTAATATTTAATCGAATTGCTTTACCTGTCTTTTAGAGAAGGAGATGATCCATAAAGTTTCATGGTCTCCTAATATATAACACTTTTTGCAACTAGTATTTTCAATCGCATTATGTTTTTACAGTTATTTTCGTGGCATTCTTTGTGAAAATTCTCTGGAATTACAAGGTAAGACTAGAAGAAAGAGGAGGAGAAGAAGAGCGTGGAGATGAGAGCGATAGTCTGCGACTTAACATGCACTTAAAATTCCTCAAAAGACTAGTACATCTACTGTATCAGAAGACTATTCACCTAATTAATGGGAAAGACAAACATAAAACATATGGTTCTGAAACATTCCCAAGTTGGCTGAAATTGCAGACAGATAGGTAATACACTGATGGTTAGAATGGAAAAGGTGGCAGTTGCGATATTCTTTTTGGGGTTCTGATGGAGGTCTTAAGCAAGTAACACATTCAACTTAGAGGAAATAGCTTCGGCAAATTAACTCACCTGCTCGAATAAGGGCCAGCAATCGAGTTATTTTGTAGGGGCACTGCACTCCCTTTGCTCTGTCCACGCTACTCAAGTTTGTACTATAGCTTCTGCAACCTGGAATATCAGAACCATCTCCTGGATCATTAGAGACAATAACACCAGACTAAAGTAAATTTTCTTTAAAACAACAGAGTCCGGTCAGCTTACGTGCATCTAGACTATTGTATTGGGTACCTACTACCTCCCATCAGTACATACGACTGAGTAACTTCGTCCACCAAAGATTAGGCAGATTGAAAACATCACCTAACTTTTTTGCCTCTGTTGAGATTTGAACCCTCGTCTTTGTTCACATCCCACTTCATCGACACTAAGCCACATCGTGGGAGGCTTATTCACTTTATATTGAATATATGCAACTATCCATTTTGACACTTTTCAAGATAACTAGCAAATTAAGCAACAGCAAAGATCAAATTAAACAGACGTAAAGGCATCCCCAAGAGTAATGTGCTTCCAATGCAGTGATAGAGAAGTGAATTCTTTAGCAAAAGAAGTGCTGAATTCAGAAATGCCATCTTAAGACATTCCAATCTCAATAGAAACCCCATATCAACTCTGTTACGGAACTTGCTATAACACCCAGCAAGAAATTATTTTTCCTACATATATAAATAAAATTTCGAACTTGCTCCCCATTCTCAAAATCTGAAGAGGGAAGGAAAAAGCAATAAAGAAAAATACTACAAAAACACTGCTAAAGAATGAAACAGAGAGCACAAGGGCCACCCATAATATTCACAAAATTGAAAGGTGAAGAGTTCTTGGACACGAATTGAACAATCTCAGGAAGTTCTTGTTAATAAAGGTATAATCAAAAGTCCAGACATCAATTCAATAGAAAATGTTGTCACCATGACAACAAGCTGAAGCGACTTACAGATTCAAAAGACAGCGCTGAGCAGTTAAGAACATTCTTTTCTTATCAAACCGTTGAAAGATATGAGCTAAATCTCAGTTTCGTGAATTGAGCAATTCTGACAAAACAATTGGCAATTAAATATGAAGCAAAAGTTGTTTCATTCAGTAATTGACGCACTAGAGGGATCTAGAATACACTTCAAAGTTCAAGAGTATGTTGTGAACATCTTACATCAAGAAAAAAATGTAGGAATATACTGAAACATCTCAAGAAAGAAGCATAGCTTAGAAGTCTCACTTTTTCCTTAGATTAAAAGGGCAGCCCGATGCTCAAAACATCCCACATTTACACAGAATCCGGGGAAGGGCCACACCCCAAGGGGTGTGATGTAGACAACCAACCCTAATGCAAGCATCAATGGCTGCTCCCACGGCTCGAAATTGTAACTCATAATACTACTAAACTCAATGTGAAGGTCTAGTAACTAAAACTTCAGATAATGAGCAACATTTGTAGTTTGTGAAAAGATTGATACTGTTTGTACCCAGGAAGACATAAAAGTATAGTTAATCTAATGCCAAGCATAAAGCAAACACCACTTAAGTACTACCAACATAATTAAAATGAAAAAGCTAGCAAGAGAAATGATTTTAATATAAACAGTACAAATGACTTTTCTATATAATCCATTAGATTTTATTTCAATAAACTTATTGAAGGAAATAGTATCTTCTTATCATCTGATCATTAGGACATAGGCCTACTTCAGTATAAAATATGTTTTACAGATAAACATTACTCTTATTTCTTAACCTTTCGATTCTTTTTCGGTCCAGGCACTTCCATTGTACCTACAGAGCATCCGCATCTCCCTCGAAATATAAGAACAGCTCTTCCATTAGGAGGTGCCATCCTTTTAAGCTCAGCTTCCAATTCTCTATGATGATCGCGAGGTAACTCGAACAGTCCCTTCATATTGACTCCATCTTTTGCTGAATTCTTAACACAATCTTCTGTCTCTAATTGTATATCAAATTCAGCAGCTTTCTTAAGCCCACGACAACCTGGTTTCCCACATCTCCTGCCTGTACATACTGTAACTGCCAGAAGAGCTATTCCAGCAAATAAAATACTAAGTCCTAAACAGATGTATACCACTGGAGCTTCTAGAATTTCCTCTTTCACCTCAGAACTGATTGTTCCGAGAATTTCAGGTATTTTATTCACCAAAAGGTTAACAGAAGGATACAGCAAAACCCCACAGGCACCAATCACAGCAATCAAAATCATTACATCAATCAAAGCAGAACGAGATTTTTCACAAGCAGGGATGCTTAATTGATTCTTAGAATTTGAAATGTACTTTTTCTTTTGAATTTGATTGATTTTCCCCAATTTCAGACTAGGGTCAGTTGAATTCTGTGATTTGGCCATGGTTTTTTCTTGGTCAAGTGGCAGTAAACTGACCATTTGAATTGAACCAAGAACTGATAAAAATCCAATCTTTAACTTAAGCCAACATCAAATTGCTCAATCTAAATCAACCCATCTAGAATAATTCAGTAAAAGAATTATGGGTTTGAAGGATTAATTGTAACAATTCGATCAGAGTAAAATTCAAGATTCAAATGGGGACGAAAAAGACTGGATTTTTTACAGTTCCTGAAAGGGTACGGTGCGGAGACGGCAAGGAAGATCTTTTAGGAAGTCAAATAGATAGCCATTTTTATCAGTTTGTTTGTATCACAAAGCGTGTAAGGTTCCTTCGTATGAAAGGGTTCATGTATTGAAGAATTATACACGCTAAGATATTTCCTCTTTTTCCTATCTATTTGGGCTATGTTCAGATGGGCCAATTGGTCCCACACGTTACTTTTCTTTTACAAAGCCCAGACTTTTCTTGATTGGATCCATATGCACAATTTTGGAAAAGTTCTTTTTCAATAAGTTTTTGGACAAAGTTGTTTGGTAATTTTAAAGAAAAGTTTTATGGTGTGCATGTACTTCTTTTTAGGGAAATTACCAGCTATGTCCATTTATAAGTAGCTCATTACAAAAATTGATCAATTGATAAAATATTATTAATATTAGCCAATTAGCTATTTGTAGCAAAAAAATATCAAATTTTTGCTTTGTTTTAAGTGAGTGTTATTAGAATAGATTGCGCACAACTTAAGGAGCTTGAATCTCAGTTTTGGGATGATTTGGTGAAGTTTTGAGGTGGTTTAAATTGAAAATTCGAAGTAAAAGCTGAACATGAAAAAAAATGATATGTGTATCATTTGTGTATCACATATGTATCATATTTGTATTAACTGTGTATCACATGTATATCCATGTATACCTATGTGTGTGATACATGCGTGATACATGTTTGATACATGTGTCGCAGCAGACTTTGTTGAACTCGATTTAATTACGAATTTTGGTACAAAACCAGTCCAAATCACCTCCAATCTTCCTCAAATTTTGTATATTGACTTATCTATATATTTTCAATGAATTTCAACTATACCCATTGAAAAAGTTCCTTTTTTATTTAAATTTTTGGAATATTGTATAGATTTTTGTATTTCATCACCTTATTTGCTACCCCGTCCATGAAATTTCCTTTCCGTCCTGTATCTAATGTTGCTAATCACGCTTAAAAATATGGAAGGTGATTTTTGCATGTGATTCTTTGAGAGAAAGAACCCTATTATTTGGTTTTTCAATTTTTGTTGGCTAGTTTTGGTAAGTCTATGACTAATGGCTAGAGATTTGTAAGTTGAAATTTATTTGGAATATTTGTGTAAGTTTCCCTTGATTCGATGTTAGTCATTGTCCTTTAACATGGGCCGACTCCGTTATCTACTCCCAATAGCTGTGACTGTGAACATATATTATATACCTAAATTACAAGTACGAGGAATTTGTATTCCTAAATCACAAGTGGGAGGAATTTTTATCTATTGAAACCAACAACTTAACAAGAAAGAAAAGGTAGTGTAGTATGAGAATGAAAGGTTGAATTTCTGTTTCTATTAATAATAATGTTTGGACAACAAACTCCACCTTTCATTCTAGGAAGTTTCGAATGGTCTTAACCCAACAAATTAAATTAAAATANCAGAAAGAAAGAAGCACTAGTGGGTTATGTAAGTTGCCAGAACCACAGTTTGGTTTGGGAAAAAGGGTGTGGGTGAGCGTGGGCATAAATATGCTCGTTCCTCAAAAGATTGCTATTATCATCTGTAGATCTAGGTATTGTTTTGTACTGAGCTATCAAAACATCAAAAACTGATTTTTAGCCTCCAAAGTTGTTCTTTATTTTTACTGGGATAATGCTTATAACACTACTTGCTCAATTCCTTTTCTTAACCTTCTAATATCCAGTTTATTATAAGTTAAGAATTATAGATTAGGGATGATGAACTTATAATTTTTAATTGATTTTGGCTTACCACTTTGGTATTTACCAAACGTGCAGACAACCAAAAGGTACATAAACCAGTTTGATTAGCTTATAATGTTTTACCCAAACACCCTTTAAGTTCAAATTTTATTCTCAATATTACAGAGCTTTCCTAACTATTTGCCTGCGGATCACGAAAGCATTAACAGTGGCGGACCTAGAATTTTAGGGTAAATTTCACAAATGGTCATATAACTATGATATTTTTTCACTAAAGTCATATAACTTTCTTTTCTCACACAAAAATCATAAAACGTTCACTACATTACTCAAAAAGTCTTAGTGACCAGCAAAGACGATTCTCCGGTGGTTTTTAGTATTCTGGCATTTTTTTTATTTTTTAAATTCAGTCTAATAAATTATGAATCAATTAAAATAGCCATGACTCGACCTGACCCGACCCGATATCCATATCCACAAATTAAAATATCCCCAAAATTCGATATTCTCAGTTGTTTCTCAAGCGTTTTTTAAGGCTCTCAAGCAAGGATCAGCAAAATACATACTACTATCTCAATTCTCTTCCCAAGCAACGTTGTTTCAAGGCTCTCAATCAGCGGTCTTTCAGGGCTCTCAAGCCAAAAAGATGGCTTTTCTCTATCTCAGAGGAGTACTTTAAGGGACAACCATAACACTTTTGCTGCACTTAGTGACACACAAATGCTTTTGCTGCACTAGGAATGACTCCAAAAGAGGTAAAAATTATTATTTTGTTAGTTTGAATTTTAGTTGGCGACACTGATTATTCATATCAAGTCTTGTAATTTGGAGCACATAGGTGGAAATGTGTTTGACAACTTCCATATGAATACTGCGTGGCTTGCTAATAGGTATTTTAGTACATTCAGAGCTGATCCATCATGGAGCGTGAATGGTTTAATTGAAACTGTTAGAAATGACTATAACTATACAATTAGTTATATGAAAGCTTGGAGGACCAGAAATATGGCACAAAAATTGGTTTACGGAGATGAGGGAACCCATTATGCAAAGTTGTTATCATATAAAGAGGAATTATTAAAAAGCAATCTAGGCTCTACTGTAATTTTGGGGAGGGACGAAGGCAGATTTCTTGGGTTTTATGTTTGTCTTGGAGCACTTTTAAATCTAGTTGTAGACCATTCATTAGCTTGGATGGTTGTTGGTTAAAGGGAAATTATGGAGGGAACTTGTTGAGTGCAGTGGCTATTGACCCAAATAATTGCATCAATAGCATATGCAGTCATAGCTGAAGCTGAAAGTAGAGAAACTTGGAGCTGGTTTCTTATTAACCTGGGAGAGGATTTGGAGATTCAGAACAGCCATCACATTTCATTTATGTCAGACATACAGAAGGTAATATTATTTCTTTAGTATTTTACTCTATTTCTTTATATTTTATTCATTGTTCTTTTTTTTTCATGTTTCATAATATTTTTGAAGGGGCTGATTGGAGCTGTGAAGGATTTGTACCCGAATGCTGAACACCGTAATTGTGTTAGGCATATGTATCAGAATTTCAGACAAAAACACAAAGGTAAGAATTTGAAAGACTTAGTTTGGAGTGCGGCAAGAGCGAGTAATGAAGTCTTGTTTAAGAAGTTTCTAGATGAACTGGAACATGAGCACAAATAGGCCAGAGAATGGTTCAATCACCCTGAGAGGCCATTCAATACTTGGACTCGAGCATTATTTAAATGGCATACCGAATGTGACATGTTGTTGAACAATTTATGTGAAAGCTTCAACAGGTAATTAAGAATTTGCATTTTCTTATGCATTTTTATTTTTAATAATATACTAAGTTATACATATTTTTTTTTTTTAGATATATACTTGATGCTAGGGACAAGGCCATAATAACAATGCTAGAAATGATCAAGAACAAGTTGATGAGGAGGTTGTTCAAAAAAAAAAGTGGATTGAGAGATACCAAGGGCCAATATGCCCTAAGATTGAAAAAAAGTTGTTGAAAATTAGGATGGAGGCAACAAAGTTTCAACCTGATTTTTCAGGAGGCCCTAGGGTCTTTGTTGAAGGTCCTGGAGGGCCATATATTGTTGATATGTCTGCCAAGACTTGTACTTGTAGAAGGTGGGATTTGACTGAATTGCCTTATCATCATGGTATGGTTAGTATTCTTGGCAAAAATGAGTTAATAGAAGATTATGTCATGGACTATTACAAAGTGGAAAACTACAATAAAGTATACTCTTATTATATAAATCCTACTGGCCTTGAAGATCACTGGCCTGAGGTTGTAGGAGGTGGTGACATTCTCCCACCTAAGGTAGTCAAGAAAAAGAGAGGGAGGAAGCCTAAAGCTAGGAGAAAGGAGGCTGAAGAACTAGAAAAACAAAGAGAAGTTGCTGCTCAGAGTGCAAAGGAGAAGAGGGCTGAGAAGAAGAAACCTCAACGAATATCTAAGAAGGGTACTGTACAAGTTAACTGCTCTATTTGCAAAGTGGTTGGGCATAATGCTAGAGGCCATAGTAAGTATGCAAAAACAACTTCCTCTAGCTTTCCAAACCAACAACCACCTTCTCCAAATTCAAGTCAAGACCCTGCTCCAACCCAAAATGAAGACCCTGCTCCAAACCAAAGCCAAGAAGAAAGGATAGACGTGGACCTCATCTTAACAAATCAATCAACTATTGAGGTAAATTAGTTTCAAACTTTTCATGGTCCTTTTTATGTGCTAATTTTATTTTTTCTCATGGTGTTGTATTGTTTTATAGGATGTTGCTGAACAAGATGTTGTTGGGAGAGTTGTACATGGTCAAAAAATTGTGCAAGGTGACACTGACGCTGTGAAAGTATCAAAAAGAGGCAGGGAAGTCAAGAAGAAAGTTATGCAAGATTATGTGCAAGTTATGGTGAAGAAAAAGTGTAGACTCTCAAAGACAAATAGGGATGTTTGTCTAAAATTTCTTGTCTTTTACAAATGGCATACACTTAAATTGGCACAATATATTGTGTCTGCTTTTGTCTTTTGGTTGATGCACATTTTATTTGTTGTATTGCTTAGTAAGCAATATTTTGTTTAGTGGTATTGCTCGTTGCTTGTTCTCCTACAAAAGCAATTCTATTTTTCCATAAAAGTTTTTTTTAGTTCCCAGGAATATTTTAATTTAAGATATTCACTGTTAGGTACTTCTTTAGAATTAAATAATTGGTCATGGGATTTCTGAAGCACCTACCCATTATCACAAATAAGATACTTACCCAAGGAGAGAGGTCCCGGAATAACTGAAAAGAAAATAACATGATAATTTTTCCGCATTCATGAAGTTGTATAGTTTGACGGTAGAATTATGAGAAGTATAGAATTTGGGGATGTTTTAATTTGTGGATATAGATATCGGGTCGAGTCGAGTCATGGATATTTAATTGATTCATAATTTATTAGACTGAATTTAAAAAATAAAAAAATTGCAGAATACTAAAAAACAACCGGAGAATCGTCTTTGCCGGCCACTAAGACTTTTTTGAGTAAAGTAGTGAAAGTTTTGTGATTTTTGTGTGAGAAAAGAAAGTTATATGACTTTAGTGAAAAAATATAATAGTTATATGACAATTTGTGAAATTTACCCAGAATTTTACACTAACGGGTTCAATAAAAATTAATGTTAACCGACAATAAGAGTGGTATCGGCAAGTGAGATTTGTTGAGGTTTTTTCTAGGTCATAAACTCATAATGCTATTACAAAAAGAACAATTTTAGAAGTTGTGGTCGACATTCCTCTTCATTTTATTTTTTAAAGAAAATTGGCTAAAAATTTAAAACACTCAACAAAGAAAAATAAACTAGTAAATAACAAGTATCAATTGAGCATTAAGCAGAAATGCACATGCACTTGTGCAGTCGATATCACAAACTTGCGTATCCAACAATGAAATCCCATTAGCCACCATATGATATTATTGCACTCTACTCGTACCTGGAGCTAATGCTGATTTGCCATATACCAAACCACCTTAGAGTAATCCTTAGTCTTGTGTTCTCCATCTTCTGAAACATTGCTCCTAAAGTGGCATTGTCTTCATTGGCGTACCCAAAATTTCAATCAAACAGGGTCAATTATTAGACATTGCAACTTCTCTGTGTATGACAAAGTGAACTTTTTTCTTTTTCCATAATGCCCCGGAAAAAATTGTTGCTTTGAGGTAGTGTTTTATTCTTATTCTTAGAAACACAAGCACTTAGACGAAACAACATTATTTTTGTCACTGTTCCGTTAAATTATATAGATATAACCAATTATTATAAGTCTTAGAAATTTCCTTTATAAGTCTCCAATTTTGCATTTTTATATTTTACTCTTATAAGTAATTAATACAACAACAACAACCCAGTCCCCTTGCTCTTGGGGAGACTCGAACTCACAACCTCTCGGTTGAAAGTGGAGGTTGCTTACCATCAGAGCAACCTCTTAAGCAATTAATAACAATAACAATATAGCAATTTTGAAACACTGTAAGCAAAATAAAAATAAATAAAATAAACACACAATTTACTAAAACAATAACTAAATAAAACAATAGGACATACCTCGCCTCACACATGTTGGGTTTGTAAGAGTAAATGTGTGAAACTCAACAAACGGAGCAAATCACTTGTTAAAAATCTGTGTTCAAACAAGAAAATTAGAGAAGCAATAAAATATTGTATAAATGTTATATAATTAGAGCACATGGTAGTTGTTTAAATATTATATTATACTATTACTGTATATACAGTATAAAAATGACTCATGAATGCTTATTTAGTGATTGAATTTTGTGGCAGGAAGAGAAAATCATGGCATAAAGAATTTTTAAATTTATTATGACAAATTTATATTAAAGAGGGAATTATTTAAATATTCTTTTTTCATAATCTTTGATATATTTGGGTAAGTGTTATTTATGGAAGAGAAGAAAAAAATTGTAGAAGAGAGAGGGAAAAGGAAATGTAATAAAAATGTATTGATGTAGATGGATCCCTTAGTTAATGAGTTACCAGTGTGAAAGCGCTAAAAGTGTAAAAAAAAAAATGTGCCAGCTTTGGAATAAACAAAGATTACTATCATTTATGAGAATAATTTTTTGAAAAGGAGCAACCATGAATGATGTTAATGTATTAATGCAATAAACAGAAACAAAAAATAATTCTGAGTCCACAAGTTGCTTGTGTGTCCTTATTCTGAGCTCACAAGTTGCTTGTATGTAGATGGATCCCTTAGTTAATGAGTTACCAGCGTGAAAGCGCTAAAAGAGTAAAAAAAAAAATGTGCCAGCTTTGGAATAAACAAAGATTAAAAAAAGTGTCAGCTTTGGAATAAACAGAGATTACTATCATTTATGAGAATAATTTTTAGAAAAGGAGCAACCATGAATGGTGTTAATGTATTAATGCAGAAACAAAAAATAATTTCGAGTCCACAAGTTGCTTGTGTGTCCTTATTCTGAGCCCACAAATTGCTTGTATGTCCATAAAAAATTTAATCTCCTCACTGTTGCCCAAAGTTTTGGATTAATTTTTAGGATAGAGAGAAATAACTATTCTGTGATAGCGGCACTACAAATTATTTAACTTCAACGAACTCAATAAATGGAGCAAATCACACTTGACATTTATATTTATTTGAAAACATAATGCAACAATGTAGAAAAGAGAGGAAGTTTTCAGAATTTTTATTTACGCAAAATGAGGCTAAGCATCTAAATTTATAGACAGTGATAGGTTGAGATGAAGGATCGTTTGGCCATAAATTTTGCCAAATTTTTTTCAATTTTTTGGCAAATACATGTTTGTTCATAAATTTTATTTATATTTTGGCAAATTCCCAAATTCCAAGTGTTGGTTTTGGCGCAAAATTTTACTATTTTAAAATTTTTTAAAATTGCGCCAAACTTTTTATTTTATAAAAGAGCCAACTATTTTGTAACAATATTGCTTCATCTTCTCAGTCATCTGATAGTGTATTATGTAGTTCATTATAAAAATAGTAATTTTGTATCAAATTTATTTATGTTCAGGACTATGGTTTATGATAATGATAATGAATGTTATCGATGAAGGTACTGTTGGGCATTTGTGATAGTTTTTAGAACTTATGGGTATAAATCATGTTTCATATTTTTTTTTTTTTAAAAAAGTGAAATATGTTTTAAAAAATAATGTCCAAACACATTTTCATCTTCAAACCAAACTTCACCCAAATCAGATTTTTCAAAACAAATTTAAAAATCTATAGCCAAACGCTAGCGAAAATATACAATTCAAAATGCGTCTCTTCCATCTCTCATTTACCCCCTTTAAAAACCCAACAGCGTAATACAAAAAAGGAGAACACAACTGTATGATGTACAGGGTATTAAAATAAATAAAATAAACCGTAAATACACAAATTTGCACATACAAGTGCATTAAATTACAAAATTATTATTTACAAACAACAAACAGTGCTACTATAACGTATATTATCTTAACAACATAAACAACTTCATTATGACACAAATAATAAATATAAAAAGGAAATGGACTAACAAATTCAATATATTATTAGAATGAACAAATTTAACACGAGAAATCAAAGAGATGACATGAGGTACTCATGAATTGTTTTAACGTGTGCACCCCTCGTGACATAAAAAAGTTAAAAACACATGAAAATGTTTGCAACAGAATTCGAGCCAAAATACTGGAGTCCGGAACCAAAATGTTGTTATTTTGGACTCAAAATACACAAATATGTATAAAAAAAAAAAAGTTACCATATTATGTATAACGCCAGAAAACCTGGCGCTATATAATAACGGTAACTGCACCGTCAATGTATAGCGCCAGGTTTTCTGGCGTTATACTGACATATACTGATATAACGCAAGAAAACCTGGCGTTATACCCCCTTAATAAAAAACCCTCCATCTGCTTCACCCGTCGTCTTCTTCAGCAATATTTTAGTCCACCCTTGGTCCCCCCACTGTAAACTGTCCGCCATTATTAAAAAAAATAAAAAAATTTGGGTCCCCCGGCACATAAAACTTGAAGAACGTAGGTCCCACACTCGAGTAGAGCTTCTTGTTATTGTTGGTTCACGCTTTCGGAGTCAAAATTTCGATCTATTTGCTTTCGAAAAATTCCAAATCGAGGTATTTCGATTTATTTTAAGTTGAAACTTTTATAATAATGCATATTATTTGATTTGTATGTGTTCTATTTCGGTTTGTGTTTTTTTTTTCGAAATTAGCATCTTAAATTTATCCGGATTTAATTTTAGTGTTTTATATAAAAATATAAATTTGTCAAATAAATTTGTCTGTTAATATTCTCATTTATATATAAGTGCTTTCATGCCGTTTTGTGTTTTATTTGCAATTAAATTTATTTGTTGTTTATGTTTAGTTTAGATTATTTTTTAGCGTAGTAAAATCTAGACCTTTTTAGCGTAGTAAAACGTAGATCCTTTTAGCGTAGTAAAATAAGATCATTGTAGCGTAGTAATGTGTAGTATTTTGTTTGAATTTGTTTTAACTATAACTTATTTATTTTGTTACACTATATTAATTTCCTTTTTCAGGCTTCATGTGATGCTGCGACAGATGACTACATTCAGGATCCAGACACGATTATGGTAAGATAATATAAATTGTTATGAATTATTATGTAGTTTTCTAAACTAAGTTTTATATTATTATGTAGCCTTCTACTGACAGCACCACCGATACATGTCATCCTGCG